ATTAAGCTTGAGCACCAGGTCTACTCACAATGCATGGAGAGACAGTCTACCCTTAAAACAAAGACACCAGGTCTACCCTTTTGACACGGACACCAGGTCTACCCTCTAAAACCAGAGACAAGGTCTACCCATTTGACTCTGGCAGCAGGTCTACCCCTGAAACACAGACACCAAGTCTACCTTCTGAAAACAGAGACCCAGTCTACCTTTTAAACAATGACACCAGGTCTGTCCGCTGGGAGGGAGAGAAAAAAGAGACCAAGTCTGCCGGCTTGGCTTGGGCACAAGGTCTACTCGCAGGGCTCAGAAAACAGGTCTACCCTTTGAACACAGACACCAGGTCTTCCCGCTGGAAGCAGAGGCTGGGTCTACCCGCATGATTCGGTCACCGGGTCTTCCCACAAGGCATGGAAAACAGGTCTTCCCCATGCAAATAGATTACAGGTCTGCCTGGTGGGAAACAGACACCAGGTCTACCCAATGGGACACCAGGTCTACACACCGAGCTCGGGCACTAGGTCTACCCATTGGGCTGGGACACCAACTCTACCCGCCGGGCTGGGACACCAGGTCTACCCACTGGGCACCGGGAAATAAAGGGCAATGGAGAGGCGGCAGCCAGAGGAGGGAGAGCAGCGAGCAACAACAACCGCCACCTGGAGCGAGAGGGAGCGGGGAGATGTCAAACATCTGTATTTCTAATGGGAGCCCTACCCTGGAGCGCATGCAGGCCAGGCAGTCGGAGTACCCGAAGCCGTCAGCGTGCAGGAATCTTTTCGGGGTGGTGAATCACCAAGAGTTAAACAGGGAGTTGAAGAAGCACCTGCAGGAGATGGAGGAGGCATGCCAGAGGAAGTGGAATTTCGATTTCCAGAATCACAAGCCACTGGAAGGCAGGTACGAATGGCAAGCCGTGGAGAAGGGAAGGTCACCCGACTTCTACTTCAGACCTCCCTGGCTACAGAAAGCCGTCTGCAAGTCCGCCGCCCGCCAGAGTTTGGATGTAAACAGGAATTGCCAAACTGTGATTTTTGTCGGTTCTCAGGGAATCTCAGAGGACACTCACTGTGTAGCTCAAAAGACTGATGTTTCAGAAAATCAGACGGACTTAGCAGAGCAGTGCACTGGGCAGAGGAAAAGACCCATGACCAATGCTAACGTACCCCCGCGAAAGCAGCAGCGCTGATCTCCACGCCCCACTCGTTTCAGCGCCAGGGCTCCCGGCGCCTTCGCCCCTGCCACGCGTGGCCTGGGCGCAGTGGGCTGTGCCCCACTGGGCACCGGCTCACCATGCCCCCCCCCTCCCCCTCCCGCCTCCTAAAAAAGCTCGGGTACTGTTTGCAGTCCCGGGGGATCCTGCATTGAGTGGGATGATTTGCAAGGAAGAGCCCTTAGATGCGGGTCATCCCTCCCAACCCCTCCCCCGCCAGGGACCCGGCCTCTTGCCCAGGTGGGAGGAGGTTCACAGTGCTCAGCAAAAGAGGAATATGGATTTTAGCCGAAAAGAGGGAACTTGGATCTCTTACCTAGAGAGAAGTCCATCTCCCCTACCCCTCCTCGCTTCACATAGCCGACCTGACGTGGGGATCCGCGAATGTTCCCCCTCGGCTCCGTCTATCCCCCCTGGATGCCGAGAAAACATCTGGAAGGAAAATATTTTAATATCGCTCCCCCACCCGTTTTTAATCTTCCCCTCCTAGATTCCTCTCCTCAAAATAAAAGAGCCAACACAACAGAAGAAGAGGTTTCAGAAGACTCCCCCAGTGCCAGTTCAGTGGAGCAAACGCCCAAGAAATCAAGCCCGAGAAGACATCAAATGTAAAGCGTGTAGGTAGGTTCCCTTTAGGATCCACCATTAGGATGCAAATAAGGGAAAGAAAGGGCGACCGAGAGGCTATCCCGACTCTATAAGGCGCTAGGGGGGCGCTTTGGGCCCCTGTGGGCTCGCTGAGCGGTGTTTTCTCCGAGGAAGGGTGGCTTTCTGCAAGCACTCGGGGATAGGTGTGTGTTAGAAGGTGGGGAGTGGGAGGCGCAGGGCTTGAAAAGAACAAAACAAGGAGCGAAGCGCAGCGCTGGGCTCCGCAGCATCAGGGGGATGGGGCTGGGGCAGTGCGAGCCCCGGGCGCTGGTGGGACTGACCCTGCTTTCCCTCCGGGATTGGGACTGGAGGCTAGGAGGGCTCTTTCCCGAGGACCGTGCCGGGTGGAGGGACGGAGTTTGAGACACGGCTGATGCATCGTGTCAGATGCCAGGGGATTTAGGGGAGCTTCCCGTGTCCCCCCGCCCCTGAGGCTTTTTCACCTCCCGTGGCAGACTTGCCAGTCGCATGCCACGACCACCTCCCACTTTGGGAGATACAAGTCAAGAAGTTTGGTCTAAGGGGAATCCGGGCACTTTCTTAAAACTCGAGCAATGCAAGCTGGTTTTTTTTGTTTGTGGGTTTTTTTGTTGGTTTTTTTTTTTGTTTGTTTTGTTTTGTTTTGTTTTGGGTTTTTTTTGCGGGGGTTTGCTTCTCTTTTTTATGTGTTCTGGCTTGGTTTTAGAGGCTGGGAGAGGGAAGGGAGCAGGTTAATGGGAACTGGGTTGTGTTGTGTGTTGTTTGGGGTTTTTTTTCCCTACCCCCTTCCTGTTGTTTTGTTTTAAGGCAAGGTCTGGGGCAGGGAGAGTTGGTAAACTGCGCCAGCGGTTTGGGAGCCAAGGTTAGGAGTGAGGTTTACAAAAACCGATTTGCGATTGTGCAGAAAGAGATTAAGCTGTAAAGCAGAAGTTGCAACAAATTAGTCCCGCTGGGGTGAGCCGTGGCGGAGCGCGGCAGCCTGCGCGGCCATGACAATGCCGCTACTACAGCCCACTTTTTTTTTTTTTTTTTTTTTTTTTGGCATTTGTGGGGAGTTGGGTGGGAAGAAGGAGGGGTCCCGCCAT